CCCTTCGCAGTGCGCAGAAACAAACAAGCCGTATTTTCACATTGGAAATAAATATGCTTTTCATTACCGCACCAGACAAAAACGGCCCAAAAGTACATGCACCAAAACGGAACAACTGTCGTTGTTCGATAAATCCTCCTTGATTTCCAACAACTCCGCAGGGATCTCCGGAGCACAGATTATATAAGCATTGCTAAGCGTAGGAAATATGTCATGCACAACAGAAACACATAAATTTTCGATCGCAGAACTCACTTGCTTGAGCCGAACAATGTAAGCAGCATCCAGAAAATGTACACAATGTCGAGAAACACCTGAATCGCAGCAAATATGTGATCTTCGGGCGAAATTTCAAATTTCCGTCCGCCCATTATCATCTGTAATACGATGGAAACATAAAGTAGCAGAAAACACTGTTAATGGTAGCAACAAGTAGAAAGGCTGGATGTCTGAAAGTTGCACTGACGATGACTGTAAGGAAGAAGTTATCCCATTAATTTCTTCGTAGCATCTCCCTTCAATATGACAAGAGCATGCTTCGAACAATACATATCCAGCTTTTGAAGGAATGCATGTGTAACACAGGCAAGAAAACGATGCAGAGGAACTGAGCGACAAAACAGGAAAATTAACTGCACCACAACGACAAAAACTGGCCAAAACTACGACTGACTTGAAAAGCTTCTTCAGTGTGCAGAGGAGTCGAGTGAGCCAAACGCTGGTGACAGGATTAATCAAAGTGCTACGAAAATACTGATAAAAAGAAAATGAAAAATGATAAAATCCGAAACGAGCAGCAATCTCTTCTCCACAAACATTAGCCAAGTGTTGAAGGAAAAGTGCAAAAACAACAGCAAACGGCGGAAGAGAGCTGCATCCATAAGATGCAAAGCTTGAAAAAATGCAAGAGGAAGTTGCTGTCGCAAAACCTTAAAATGTTGATTAATGGATAAGAATGAACGTTGGTTCACGAACTGAATAGATCTGACGGAAACTTGTTGAATTTTTTTTTTTTCTTGTTTCTGGTGGGAATTTGGTGAAGAATTTTGGTTTTAGACACAAGAAAACCAGCAAAACAAAAACTCAGCGGTGAGCAAATCCAACGCATCCGAATCAAACCAGGCTTTTTAAAATAGCAACCTGAATATCGATGGCCAGATAAACCATGAAAACGAGCGCAGCAAGTCCAGCATAAACGGTATACAGCCATCTGACGTGGAACACCACAGAAGCAATAATTGCAACGATACCGAACACCAGCAATACCATAGATATGATGAACATCACACCAATCATACTGAAAACAATACAACCACTAAAGACCTTATCCTTGTAGTGGTTAAAATGAAAGGTGTATATCGGAAATAACTAAATTAGCACCACCCCATCTAATAATTTAAACAAAAAACTGCAGACTCAGGCTCCAGGTGAAGTAAACCAGGAGGAGCATTTGTTCGATCAGCCAGAACATGGGCCTGAACCAGTGACCATGAGAATTCACATACCATACTCAACAAAACATTTGTTTCTTAAAGATGAAAAATTTCCGTTAATTTATCAAATGATTATAAAGAGAGAAGTGATGTTTACCTTGTCAAGTCATATTTTGTCTGGGACGAGAAAAGAATGATGCCGGCGCAGCAAACAGCCGTGATAATCAAGCACAGCAACACCGAAGTCACATTATGGAACGAGCAGATCATCATCGTCATGTAACCAACTGCTAATGTCAAGACACCCAGTGCAATTAAATTGCCCGGAAATGACCTGCAACAGGCAAACCCCTGTGTGGAAGCTCCTCAACTGCAGCATTTTCATGCACAATCACTTGCACACATTCCTATTTTACTAAACTCCTCCGGTGCTCACATACCCGGTTACGATGCTTCGGGTCTTTGCCTGAACGCGAACTTTTCCCCTCCCTTTTTATGTGTTTTTTGCATCCATTCAGTGCAAAAAGGCATACAATCAAGGGGTTGTCAGTGTGTGCCAGCGTGTTCATCTATATTGATTTTTCATCCCGAGACCTACAAAAGCTACAAGGCTGTAAATTTCGAAACTTAATCTACATGTATGTACAGGCCCCTGTTCCCAAAATGGATGTACTTGCCCATGTGGCCCTCACGTACGGACCCGCGAAAGTTTCTTGCGGATAGGTTGATAACTCGGAAAACTGAAAAGCTAGAAAGCTGGGAAGGAACGTTCTCCTTCCACATAGGAATTAATGAGTTCAAATCCAGTCTCAGGCTTAAGTGGTTCCCACGTAGGGGCCAGTGAAAATCATTTGCGGGTAAGTTGCTATCTCGGGAACCAGAAAAACTAGAAAGCTGAAAATTTAAGGGAATGTTTTCTCACAAGCATGGTGGCCAGTCACAATTCTTTTAGCTAGAAGCATCTGCCGGAAAAAACAGTGCCGTTAGCGACAAAAACCTATGGGGAGCTGTGCAAAAAATGCATCTTCGCACCTGCAGTCGATGCACTGATTAACTATATAAATGTGACGTGTTTTACCATCTCAATCATTTCCCTCCTTCCTCCCTCTTCTCTTCTTCCACGCTAAAAAAATGACAAAACGTTACAGCAGCCAGCACTCCACACGAATATACGAACCGTATGTAGAAATGCTAATCATGCTCTGCTTTCGTCGGAACCCCTCCAAACTATGGAAGGTTCCGACGAAAACAAAATATGATGGGTATTCTAGTTATGCTCGATAAAATTGTCGTTGCTAAATTTTCCAAAAAATTAACCGTCTAACGCCTTCGCAGCATATCAACGTGATATAAACCACCATGAAGACGATATAACTTATGAAGTACAGTGCCGGCGTTTGGCGCACAAATGTCATCGTTCCGTGATGTAAAAACGGTACTGCCGTCATCAGTGTTACAATTGTTAACTAAAAAAAATTTCATGCATAAAAGTTCCTGTAACCTGTCTCTGCGAACACTCCTTTTTTCGCACCCCTGAAAAAATGCTACAGACTACAAGACAGGAGGGAAAAAAAACTTACCATGATGCCAACAAGAATGAAGACTTTCCGAATAAATGCAGCTCGAATAGATGCCGAATCAAAGCCAAATGATTTCGAGCCTCCTCCGCTTTCGACATACGCATCAGCGCCAGCGTGCATCGGTGGTGGCGGCATGAATGCTGGAACTAGAAAGTCACAAAGATTCTGCTGCAGTAAATGCTACGGCAGATTTGTTACAAGCATCCTTCAGCCCTAAGAAAGTCAGGGTATGTTTTCCTG